GGTTTGATGATGGTAGTGGCAGAGTGTGGAAGCTGAAGAAGGCCCTCTATGGGCTGAAGCAGGCCCCTAGGCAATGGTACATGAAGCTGCGCGAAGTGTTGGAGGGGATCGGCTTCACTCCCTCAACGGCCGATCACTCCTTGTTCATGCTTGGCGAGGGGGAGCAGAGGAGTTTCATGGTGGTTTATGTGGATGACATCCTCATTTTCTCACCCTCTTCTGACCTTGTGAAGGAGGTGATGCTGAAGCTTCAAGACAAGTTCAAGTGCAAGGCCCTTGGTGACGTGAGCTTCTACCTTGGGCTCCACATCGAACGAGATGTGGAGAAGCGGTGCATGCGGGTGCATCAACGAAAGTACCTGGAGGCATTGGCTGCCAACTTTGGGCAGAGTGAAGGCCATGTGGCTACACCCTTTCCCTCTGGGTTCAAGTGTGTGAAGGGACCAGAGGAGGAGAGCGTTGGTGAAGAGGAGAGGCGCCGATTTCACTCGTTGGTGGGCAGCCTCATGTATGCGGCGGTAAACACCCGACCGGACGTCGCGTTTGCTACCGGGCAGCTGGCTAGGGTTGTGCAATGCCCTAATGAGGAGCAGGTAGCAGCTGGAATGAGGGTGGCCAAGTATCTTGGCCAAACACCGACCGTTGGGCTGCAATACTCGGCGGCGGCACAAAGGCGCCAAAAGGGCGCGGATGGTGTTGAACCCGGGCGTTTGTTCCTCACCGCCTACTCGGATGCTTCATATGCATCAGAACCAGAGGACATGACAAGTGTGGGAGGCTTCATATGCTGTGTTGGTGGAGGCCCAACTGCTTGGGAGAGCAAGAAGCAGGTTGACCAAGCTTTGAGCTCGGTGGAGTCCGAGTACATGGCACTCTTCCGTGCCGTACGGGAGATTGTGTGGCAGCGGCGTTTGTTGGCTGAATTGGGGGAGGAGCAGCAAGGACCTACCCCACTGTACTGTGACAGCCAGGGTGCCATTGCTCTTGCTAAGAACCCTGTGTTGCATGGACTCACGAAGCACATGAGGGTGAAGTGGCATTGGACGAGGAGCATGGTAACCGCGGGTGAAGTTGAGTTGCGCTACGTGAAGACCACGGGGCAGCCGGCTGACATGATGACCAAGAGGCTGGTGGAGCAGCAGCATTGGAAGTGTTGCAAGCTGGCTGGGATGGCTCTGAACTGAGAGAGCAACATATCCTAAGGCCAACAATCCGAGGGGGAGTTTGTTGGTGCAACCCTACGGTTTGCACTCGGCTTGTTGTCCGTATGCGTGAATGTGTGTGTGTATGGAATGGTATGAGGGCATGGGATAATATATATTTCATGCTTATAATTGTGTGTGAATGTTGAGTCATGATGTCGAGTGTGTGTGTGGAGTCAATAGCGAGTTATCGCTAGACGCGTGTTACGCGGTCGTTTGTGTCTCGCGCGCGGTTTCTATTTTGTCGTGCGCGGTTTCTATTTTGTCCTGTGTCGAACGTTCGGCGTGTCGCAGGTGTGTGCAGCAGACCCATCAAGAACTCAAGGATGAGTTTGTGATGAAGAGCCCGAGCCTTGGTGTCAAGCCTCAAGTGATTTCGAAGCTTGCCAAAAACGTACACCTCAAGATATTGAAGATAGTTACATTACTTTGTGTAGTGTAACATTTCACTTGGTGTAGGCCCTAGTGAAGGGTAGTTTCGAGACCCTTCGTGGTTGGGGACAGTGTGGCACTGTTCCACATCACTGTACCTCGGCTCTTGGGGTTTGTAGGAGCTGGGAGTCATTCCCAACTCGTAACTCTTCCTATCTTGTGTTCTAAGACTATAGTGGCTGCCATAGTACCGTTCGTTCAAACCGACGCTGTGTCGTCAATTATTTATCAAATCGTGCAATCTAAATTGCTAATTGTAGAAGACGTGAAGACGCTCCAGATCCAATTTGAATCAAGTCATTTGCAGCTGTGAGCAGAACGCTATCAACGTTTGAAGCCGCTGTGCAGAAATCCGTCTGTGCTCTCTATCTTTCGTTTTAGGCACATTCAAGCCTATTGTGACTATAACACAATGCAGCTTGAATATGGTAGCTCCTGACTTCCACACATGGCAGTGATAGTCAAGTGGAATGTAAAGAAGGGGGTGGAGTGGGTGAGGAGGAGGGTGGAGTGGGTGAGGAGGAGGGTGAGGCGGAGGAAAGGGAAGCAGTGGAGGAAGGCAAGAGGGAGGGGGCTGTAGAAACTACAAATTCTGCTGCTGCGTCCGCTGCAGCAGGAGAAAGAGCAGAAGTAATTACCGCAGCAGCAGCAGCAGGACCAACAATGATCAACTCAAGGAACGAAGGGAAGAGTGAGCATGAGTATGTGGACATTCGAACAACAGCAGCAGCAGCAGCAGCAACAGTGGCAACAGCATCAGCAGCAACAACAACAATAGTCGACCCAAGGAACGAAGGGAGGAGGGAGTGTGAGTATGAGTATGAGTATGTAGACATTCGAACAGCAGCAGCAGCAGCGCATGCCGACCGGATAGCCGCCTGCAATTGTGCCGTCAAGCTAATGAAAGAAGCCAACGAATCCATAAGGCGCGCGATCGCTAATGCCGATACCGTCCGGATGCCTTGGGGCGAAACTTCCCTAAGCCAGATCGAATCAGCAACCGACAGCATTAGGTCAGCTATCGCCTTGTGTCGGTCAGTGCGGGTGGCGATTTTGGACCAAGTTGCAGCGAGAGAGAGGGAGGATGCGTTGGTTGAGGCGTTCTCTGCTGCCAAAGCTGCTGGCGTGTTTGTGAAGAGGGCTAGTCGGGAAGGAGAGGGCGAAGTAGGAGCAGGCCTGCTTGAAGACATGGATGGGATACTGCTTGACAACGACGTTGCTGGGACCGGGAGTGATGGTGATAGTGCTGGTGATGGTGACGGTGATGGTGATGGTGATGGTGATGGTGATGGTGATGGTGGTGGTGAGAGGGAGGGGGAAGGTGCTGTGGGGAACGTGAGTCCTCACGCGACGGTGCTGGGTGTGATGCAGACGCTATTGCGGCAGCTGGGTGAAGCGAGGAGGAACACGTATGAGGCCTTTGATCGCATGCGCTGGCGCGTGGCTCGTGGTGCTGCCAGCTGGCCTGCACATGAGGCAGGGCTTGCAGCAGCAGCAGGTGGCATTCTTGGTGCTGCTGCTGTTGGCGGGGCTACCGCTCATGCTGCTGCTGCTGCTGCTGCTGCTGCTGCTGCTTCTGCTGATGATGCTGATGCTGGGGGTCCTGCTGCTGGTTCAGTGACTGGTGGTGGTGGTCCTGCTGCTACTGCTGGTTCTCCTATTGTTGCTGGTGGCTCATCCAATGTGGCTGCTGTTTCTGGTGTGGGTACTGCTGCTGCTGCTGCTTCACTAGAAAGTGGTTTACCTGGTGCCACATGTGCGGAAGCAGCAGATGGGACAGCAGGAAGAACCGGGCAAGCGGAAGGAGTTGTTGAAACATCAGAGCAGGGGAGAGGGATGCAAGGAGAGGGGAGACACGAAGATGGATGCAAGTCAAAGGGCGGCCAAGATTCAATTAGCAGAAGCAGAGACACACCCTTTCACCTGTCAGGGGAACCCGCTGATTCAGGAAAAGGTATTTCTGGAATCCCTGTGGCGGTAATCTGCCCTCCGCTGGAGGCCTTATGTCTCCAGACTTTTCACTTCACCGCCACTCCCGAGCCTTCCTGGCTGCCTCTGCACCTCCCCCCTACATCCCCTCCCATGAGGGTCACCTCCCCCAGTCTACCCTCCTCATCTTCCTCTTCGTTTCCCTTCCCAAGCCCTAGCGCCCAGCCCCAGACCTTTGAGTCCATCGCACTCGCAGCTGTCTTTGGAAGGCTCAAGGAACTCGAACTGCTGTCTTGCTCTGGGCTAGAGGAAGAGCAGATACTGCTGCTGCTCCGCGCTTGTCCCCTTTTAGAATCTCTAACGATGGAATACAGTAATTGCTTTTCTGACCGGGTGGTTGCACGAAGCAGGCTGGAGAGTCTGACGCGGTTGAGCATGGTTGGATGCGGTGCAATCACAGCAGCCGCCATTGGGGATTTGCTGGGAAGCTTCCCGAGGTTGCGGCGTTTGAATGTGGAGGCAAGCAAGGTTGAGGCGAGGGATAGAAGCGAGCTGCTCCGTGCGGGAGTGATTCTCGAGGGAGGCAACGTATATGGGAGTTAATGACATTGCCAGACAAACCGTGCATGGGGCTCTTACCGGGATCTCGGGACTTGTATATTGGTCTCCCCTAGGAGAACCTGCATCCCAGACTGGTGGTGCCCAAGACTTGCATTTAAAAAACCACAACCCCTGTTGTAGCACCTTCCGGACTGATTGACAGGTGGTGGAAGTGCTAATACATTTCAGTGGTTCAGGAAACATCAAAGGGAAAAAGGTTGCTGGAAGTATATTATTTTGAGAAAAGTTAAGCAATTCTTCACTGTGACTTCAATTCAATCAATGTAATTAAACGAGTCAAGCACAGGAGCCTTGGCGAAGGCTGGTCAGCAACTCAAGGTAGCCTTGTGAATCTGGTGAAATCATGCTGATGAAATTGGGGCACACAACAACACAATGCATAGGGGGGGGAGAGAGTGGTTGTGTTGGTGAGAACTGGGGGGAGAATGAGAAGAGAGGTCCAGAACAAGAGGAGCGATGAGAACGTTTTGACTCCTGATGTTGCTTGCAGCAAGTGGCTTTGAACTGGGAGAGTGAGAACAGCAGAGCTGGTGGGCTGGATGGAAGAGAATACAGACCACCAGCACCGCGGGCCTGTTGATGGTGCACTGTTATTCTCTTCCACAGTGACACACCATGAACTATTTTTTGAAAAAAAATGTTAAAAGTACTCCAATGCATGCACCAGCAACTTCACCCACTCCCCTGCACAACCCCCCCACCACACACCCTCTCTCCTGTGCTGATCAGCTTTACCTTCACACAGCGCACGCAAGCTTTAAAATTCAAACTTTGAAGCTTGCATGCAAACATGAGGGATCATGCACCCCGCTCTACTCACCCGTGTCTTATAAGGAAGTCGATAATAACGAGGTTGCAGTTGGCCTTGTACTCCTTAGTGTTGGCCACGATACTAGCCACAGCTTCAATGGGCATCAGAGAAAAATCCGCTACTTCCCCATCTGTTGGTGGGGGAAACGGCGGAAGAGAAAGAACGAGGAAAGATTGAGAGGAATAGGGTCTATCTGGTACTTCCCCATCTGTTGTTCAGCGAGATAGGGGAAATGATTGAGATAGGGGAATGAAAAACAGAGGCCTATCTGCTGAATGCCGTAAAGGAAGTGGTGCTTAGGAAGGGACAAACATGCAGATGGCTTTTGAGGCGCCTCAGAAGTCCAAGGGCGATTGGGGAGGAGCAAACATGCGTGGGTGGGGGAAACAAACAAGTGGTGCGTACTGCAGAAACATCACCATTAGCGCACGCACCTCTCCACTTACTATGGCACATATCTTGGTACACAAACAACGCAGGGTGTTTTTTTTTGTTATATATATATACACACACATATAAAGGATCCTACGAAGGTTGTCTAGAGCAGAAATAAAGGAAAGCCAAACGATGAACCAGAATGTGCCAAACCTGTGTTTCTGGAAGTTTTGTCGGGCAGCAGGAGCACGTAACAGAAGAGGTGACTTTAGGTAGACTCAAATCACAAAACATGACTTTCCAGTCGACTCAAAAGCAGCAGCGACGCACCTGTGTTTCTGGGGGTGAAGTCGGGTGGCAGAAGGAGGTCGTAGCAGAAGAGCACGTCCCTCTTGAGCGTGTTGGCTGCTGTCACCGTCTCATAGCTCACTGCTCCCACTGGCACTGCCCTTCACTCCATTCCATTCCATCCCATCCCACACCAATCCAATCCATTCCATCACATGCCACCCATAGCGCCACCAACCAACACAATCGCAACACAGGAGCCAGGGAACTCAGCCGCCGCACAATGAAATCGGGAAATCATACAATGATCTGCACTGCATATACAAGAGAGAAACGAACAATATCACCAAGGTCAGAATGTCCTTCCACGGCACCCCCATGTTGGCTCTCTAAGCTAAGGCGCCTTAGCACCGTCTCATGTTTTGCACCTTTTATCGGTTGTTGCATGCACGCTGTTACATCCCCATGCTCGGCATTTTTGTATTTCGTTATTTAGTTTCCTTTTTTTTTTTTTCCTCCCACACTAAGGCACCGGTGCTCACCTCTCTGCCAGGTGCCTGGGAATGTCTGCCTCCTCCTCACATTCTTTGATCATGTTGTCCCTGCAGCTGATGCCGTGCGGCTGGGAGGAAGAACAAGGAAGGGAGGGGGTTGAAAGGTGAGAAATCCTCAAAACTGAGTCACGCATAGCTGGTTAAGGAAGGAGGGTGTGGAGGGGCCCTTGCATGCTCACACACACTCCTGTTCGAACAGCCTGTCAACCCTTGCCCCCTCGGATCGAATTACTCCCCACACTTTCCCGTCTGCCACTAGATGGTCAAGCTGGTTGGGGAATGTGGGCCTTAGGGGGACATGCATGTTCACATCACACTCCTAATCCGGCAACCCACCTCCCCTCCTCCCTCATTTTCACCTGCCCGCCCGCCACTGTATGGTCCAGCTGGTTGGTTGGGGAACGTGGGCTTTAAGGGGGACGATGCTTGCTCACGCTCCTAATCCAGAAGGCCATCAGCCCACCTCCCCTCCTCGCTCGCTCTCACCTGCCCGCCTGCCACGAGGTGGTCTAGTTGGTTGGGGAACGTGGGCTTTAAGGGGGATCGCCGAGCAACCCAGAGGTGCAGAGAGGAGGAGGCGGAGGAAGAGGAGGGCAAGTGTGTGTAGCCGTTCATGTGCACACCGTAGGCCTTGGTGCCAAAGAGAGGCGCTGCTGCTCGCTCGATGAGGAAGGCTGGTGGCGCGTGGAAGGAGGCACCCACTGGGTACAGCTGAAATGGGGTTGGGGGGGAAAAGGGGGTAGATGGTGGGGAGTAGTAGAGAAGATGTGGGGGAGAGATGAGAGGGGAGATGGGAGGGGAGGATTGCTGCTGCCCGCTTGATAAGGAAGGCTGGTGGCGCGTGGAAAGAGGCACCCACCGGGTACAGCTGAATGGGGGAGGAGAAAGACAGAGGGAACTTTGCCTTCTCTCCCTTTAGAACAAGAACGTGGTGGAAGGCCACAGGGTAGAGCTGAAGGGGAAAAAGAGGAGGGGTAGGGGTAGAGGGGAGGGGTGAAAAGAGGGTGAAGGAAGATTGAAGGTGGGAGGAGGGCTGGTGGCGCGTGGAAGGAGGCACCCACGGGGTACAGCTGCGGGCAGGATGAGAAGAGGGGGGGAGGTGGTAAAGAGAGGGTGAGTGCGGGCAGATCAGAGGGAGGGGCAAGGCGAGGGAAGAGCGGGAAGTGTGTGGGGGACGGGAGGAAGCAGGGGAGGGGCTATGGAACCGTGAGGAAAGGCTTCCCTCTCATGAGGACAAATGGTGAGGCATAGAATGAGGTAGGCTCATGCAGGGAGTTAGAAAGGTTCGAATCAATGCAAATGATCAACACGTGGGTTGAAGCTGAGGATGGGCGGGCCACGAGTGGGAAGGGAGGGAAGGGTGCGTGCTGTTGCCCCCTTCATGAGGCAACATGAAGGGTCAGAGGCTTGTGGGTGGGGCTGGGCTGCCGATATTGATCTTTGTGCGAGGGGGGGAACGAGGGAGGGAGGACGGACAGAGGAACAAGAGGGCAAAGGATATCGCATAATCTGCGTACTGCTTTCTCCTCCTACCTGACATTTTCTCTCACACGGGTGCTGCAGTACCCACCGTACCGCCTCTGCCCTCTCACCAGCACCTGCAGGCTGCTGCTTCCATTCCATCCAAGCGGCCTGATCAAAACGCACCCCTCTCCCTTCACCGCACTCCCTTCACCGCACTCCCTTCACCGCACTCCCTTCACCGCACTCCCTTCACCGCACTCCCTTCACCGCACTCCCTTCACCGCACTCCCTTCACCGCACTCCCTTCACCGCACTCCCTTCACCGCACTCCCTTCACCGCACTCCCTTCACCGCACTCCCTTCACCCCTCTCCCTTCACCGCACTCCCTTCACCGCACTCCCTTCACCGCACTCCCTTCACCGCACTCCCTTCACCGCACTCCCTTCACCGCACTCCCTTCACCCCTCTCCCTTCACCGCACTCCCTTCACCGCACTCCCTTCACCGCACTCCCTTCACCGCACTCCCTTCACCGCACTCCCTTCACCGCACTCCCTTCACCGCACTCCCTTCACCGCACTCCCCCTCCACTCATCACACACCCCTTCTCTCCCCTCGTCACACCCCCTCCCTCTCCTCATCACACGCCACTGCTCTCTCCCCTCAACATATACCCCCTCTCTCCACTCAATGCATATCCCCCCTCTCTCCCCTCACTGCACTCCACCGCTCTCCCCTCACTGCACTCCACCGCTCTCCCCTCACTGCACTCCACCACTCTCCCCTCACTGCACTCCACCACTCTCCCCTCACTGCACTCCACCACTCTCCCCTCACTGCACTCCACCACTCTCCCCTCACTGCACTCCACCACTCTCCCCTCACTGCACTCTACCGCTCTCCCCTCACTGCACTCCACCACTCTCCCCTCACTGCACTCCACCACTCTCCCCTCACTGCACTCCACCACTCTCCCCTCACTGCACTCCACCGCTCTCCACTCACCTCATTGCGCCAGCCAGTCACCACGCCTTGCTCGCGCAGCTGCTGCAGCACCTCTCCCACCGCCTCTGTGCGCTCAGCTGCCCCCGCTGCCTCCAGCCTCCCTGAAAACGATAGCACTTTCCCAGCAGCAGCAGCAGCGCTGGTGCTACTGCTGCCGGTGTTGGTGGTGGTGGTGGTAGTGGTACTGCTGGGTGCGCGGCGGTGCAGGGAAAAGACGTCTCCAAACGGCTCCAAGTGCTGCCAGAAGCTGCAATGCGCGGAACGACACAAGAGGGCACGGCGCGGGTGAGTTTCTTCTTCTTCTTTTTCTTGAAACAACACCAAAAGCCTCAACGCATGCGAGCGGATGGGGGACGAGAAAAGAGCGTGAGTGGGAGGACAGTGATAAGGAGCCAGCCAGCTGCAGACTACAAGGCTGCAGATTACACCTTTATTAAGAAAACGATGTACCCCATTGCATCATAGTCACATACCATTATCATAATCACCCTCTTTGTAGTACTTATCTATGGTGGATATACAAGAACCCCATTGCTTCATAGTCACAGCTATAAATTGCTTCATAGTCACAGCTATGAATTGCTTCATAGTCACAGCTATGAATTGCTTCATAGTCACAGCTATAAATTGCTTCATAGTCACAGCTATGAATTGCTTCATAGTCACAGCTATGAATTGCTTCATAGTCACAGCTATGAATTGCTTCATAGTCACAGCTATGAATTGCTTCATAGTCACACTTTGATCACCTCTGCACTCACCTGTGGTGAATGTATCCCACAACCTCCCCGTTCACAACGAAGGGGATGAACTCCGACCTACGCTCCTGAGAAGAATGGCAGAGAGAAAAGGGGCATGAACAGAGGTGGGGGAAGGACGCCGTGAGAGTAGTGGCATGGAGAGTGGGGTTGAGGAGTGGTGGTAAGGTTTGTAAAAGGGTGTGTATGGGTTGCATTGCAAGGAGTCGTTGAGGGAAAGAACGGCAGTTGTTGTGGCTTGAAAGGAGGGGCAATGGACGTGACAAAAACAATCCAGACAATCTAGGCAATCCAGACATTCTAGGCAATCTAGACAATCTACGGTGGATGGACGTTACACACAGCCTTTCGTTTTGCTCCAAGGGATGGGTGAGCACGTGCTGTCATGGAAACACAGAGTTCACCCCTGCAAAGATCCTAAGGGCTTTTTCAGCCTAACAAACCGTCCCAAATGCAAGATAACCCAAGCATTTTTGCCCGTGTAGGTTCGGAAGATGTAGGTTCGGAGGATGCCCTGCCCTGCCCTGCCCTGCCCTGCCCTGCCCTGCCCTGCCCTGCCCTGCCCTGCCCTGCCCTGCCCTGCCCTGCCCTGCCCTGCCCTGCCCTGCCCTGCCCTGCCCTGCCCTGCCCTGCCCTGCCCTGCCCTGCCCTGCCCTGCCCTGCCCTGCCCTGCCCTGCCCTGCCCTGCCCTGCCCTGCCCTGCCCTGCCCTGCCCTGCCCTGCCCTGCCCTGCCCTGCCCTGCCCTGCCCTGCCCTGCCCTGCCCTGCCCTGCCCTGCCCTGCCCTGCCTGCCCTGCCCTGCCCTGCCTGCCCTGCCCTGCCCTGCCCTGCCCTGCCCTGCCCTGCCCTGCCCTGCCCTGCCCTGCCCTGCCCTGCCCTGCCCTGCCCTGCCCGGCCCTGCCCCCTGCCCTGGCCCCTGCCCTGCCCTGCCCTGCCCTGCCCTGCCTGCCCTGCCCTGCCCTGCCACTGCGCCTCGCCCTGCCCTGTGCCCTGCCCTGCCCTGCCCTGCCCTGGCCCTGCCCGGCCCTGCCCTGCCCTGCCCTGCCCTGCCCTGCCCTGGCCTGCCCTGCCCTGCCCTGCCCTGCCCTGCCCTGCCCTGCCCTGCCTGCCCGGCCCTGCCTGCCCTCCCTGCCCTGCCCTGCCCTGCCTGCCCTGCCCCTGCCCTAGCCCTGCCCTGCCCTGCCCTGCCCTGCCCTGCCCTGCCCCTGCCCCTGCCCCTGCCCTGCCCTGCCCTGGCCCTGCCCTGCCCTGCCCTGCCCTGCCCTGCCCTGCCCTGCCCTGCCCTGCCCTGCCTGCCCTGCCCTGCCCTGCCCTGCCCTGCCTGCCCTGCCCTGCCCTGCCCTGCCCTGCCTGCCCTGCCCTGCCCTGCCCTGCCCTGCCCTGCCCTGCCCTGCCTGCCGGCCCTGCCCTGCCCTGCCCTGCCCTGCCCTGCCCTGCCCTGCCCTGCCCTGCCCTGCCCTGCCCTGCCCTGCCCTGCCCTGCCCTGCCCTGCCCTGCCCTGCCCTGCCCTGCCCTGCCCTGCCCTGCCCTGCCCTGCCCTGCCCTGCCCTGCCCTGCCTGCCCTGCCCTGCCCTGCCCTGCCCTGCCCTGCCCTGCCCTGCCCTGCCCTGCCCTGCCCTGCCCTGCCTGCCCTGCCCTGCCCTGCCCTGCCCTGCCCTGCCCTGCCCTGCCCTGCCCTGCCCTGCCCTGCCCTGCCCTGCCCTGCCCTGCCCTGCCCTGCCCTGCCCTGCCCTGCCCTGCCCTGCCCTGCCCTGCCCTGCCCTGCCCTGCCCTGCCCTGCCCTGCCCTGCCTGCCCTGCCCTGCCCTGCCCTGCCCTGCCCTGCCCTGCCCTGCCCTGCCCTGCCCTGCCCTGCCCTGCCTGCCCTGCCCTGCCTGCCCTGCCCTGCCCTGGCCCTGCCCTGCCCTGCCCTGCCCTGCCCTGCCCTGCCCTGCCCTGCCCTGCCCTGCCCTGCCCTGCCTCCCTGGCCCTGCCCTGACCTGCCCTGCCCTGCCCTGCCCTGCCCTGCCCTGCCTGCCTGCCTGCCCTGCCCTGCCCTGCCCTGCCCTGCCCTGCCCTGCCCTGCCCTGCCCTGCCCTGCCCTGCCCTGCCCTGCCCTGCCCTGCCCTGCCCTGCCCTGCCCTGCCCTGCCATGCCATGCCATGCCATGCCATGCCCTGCCCTGCCCTGCCCTGCCCTGCCCTGCCCTGCCCTGCCCTGCCATGCCATGCCATGCCATGCCATGCCATGCCATGCCATGCCCTGCCCTGCCCTGCCCTGCCCTGCCCTGCCATGCCCTGCCCTGCCCTGCCCTGCCCTGCCCTGCCCTGCCCTGCCCTGCCCTGCCATGCCATGCCATGCCCTGCCCTGCCCTGCCCTGCCCTGCCCTGCCCTGCCCTGCCATGCCATGCCATGCCATGCCATGCCATGCCATGCCATGCCATGCCATGCCATGCCCTGCCCTGCCCTGCCCTGCCATGCCATGCCATGCCATGCCATGCCATGCCATGCCATGCCATGCCATGCCATGCCATGCCATGCCATGCCATGCCATGCCATGCCCTGCCCTGCCCTGCCCTGCCATGCCCTGCCCTGCCCTGCCCTGCCCTGCCCTGCCCTGCCCTGCCCTGCCCTGCCCTGCCCTGCCCTGCCCTGCCATGCCATGCCATGCCATGCCATGCCATGCCATGCCATGCCATGCCATGCCATGCCATGCCCCGCCATGCCATGCCATGCCCTGCCATGCCATGCCATGCCATGCCATGCCATGCCATGCCCTGCCATGCCATGCCATGCCATGCCATGCCATGCCATGCCATGCCATGCCATGCCATGCCATGCCATGCCATGCCATGCCATGCCCTGCCCTGCCCCGCCATGCCATGCCATGCCATGCCATGCCATGCCATGCCATGCCATGCCATGCCCTGCCCTGCCCTGCCATGCCATGCCATGCCATGCCATGCCATGCCATGCCCTGCCCTGCCCTGCCCTGCCCTGCCCTGCCCTGCCCTGCCCTGCCATGCCATGCCATGCCATGCCATGCCATGCCATGCCCTGCCATGCCATGCCATGCCCTGCCATGCCATGCCATGCCCTGCCATGCCATGCCATGCCCTGCCATGCCATGCCATGCCCTGCCATGCCATGCCCTGCCATGCCATGCCATGCCATGCCATGCCATGCCATGCCCTGCCATGCCATGCCATGCCCTGCCATGCCATGCCCTGCCATGCCCTGCCATGCCATGCCATGCCCTGCCATGCCATGCCATGCCCTGCCATGCCATGCCATGCCCTGCCCTGCCATGCCATGCCATGCCCTGCCATGCCCTGCCATGCCATGCCATGCCCTGCCATGCCCTGCCATGCCCTGCCATGCCATGCCATGCCCTGCCATGCCCTGCCATGCCATGCCATGCCCTGCCATGCCCTGCCATGCCATGCCATGCCCTGCCATGCCATGCCATGCCATGCCATGCCATGCCATGCCATGCCATGCCATGCCATGCCATGCCATGCCATGCCATGCCATGCCATGCCATGCCATGCCATGCCCTGCCATGCCATGCCATGCCCTGCCATGCCATGCCATGCCCTGTCATGCCCTGCCATGCCATGCCATGCCCTGCCATGCCATGCCATGCCCTGCCATGCCCTGCCATGCCATGCCATGCCCTGCCATGCCATGCCATGCCCTGCCATGCCCTGCCATGCCATGCCATGCCCTGCCATGCCCTGCCATGCCATGCCATGCCATGCCATGCCATGCCCTGCCATGCCATGCCATGCCATGCCATGCCATGCCATGCCCTGCCATGCCATGCCATGCCATGCCATGCCCTGCCATGCCATGCCATGCCCTGCCATGCCATGCCATGCCCTGCCATGCCCTGCCATGCCATGCCATGCCCTGCCATGCCATGCCATGCCCTGCCATGCCATGCCATGCCCTGCCATGCCCTGCCATGCCATGCCATGCCCTGCCATGCCATGCCATGCCCTGCCATGCCCTGCCATGCCATGCCATGCCCTGCCATGCCCTGCCATGCCATGCCATGCCATGCCATGCCATGCCCTGCCATGCCATGCCATGCCATGCCATGCCATGCCCTGCCATGCCCTGCCATGCCATGCCATGCCATGCCATGCCCTGCCATGCCCTGCCATGCCATGCCATGCCCTGCCATGCCATGCCATGCCCTGCCATGCCCTGCCATGCCATGCCATGCCCTGCCATGCCCTGCCATGCCATGCCATGCCATGCCATGCCATGCCCTGCCATGCCATGCCATGCCCTGCCATTCCCTGCCATGCCCTGCCATGCCCTGCCATGCCATGCCATGCCATGCCATGCCATGCCATGCCCTGCCATGCCCTGCGATGCCATGCCATGCCCTGCCATGCCATGCCATGCCCTGCCATGCCCTGCCATGCCATGCCATGCCCTGCCATGCCCTGCCATGCCATGCCATGCCATGCCATGCCATGCCCTGCCATGCCATGCCATGCCATGCCATGCCATGCCCTGCCATGCCCTGCCATGCCATGCCATGCCATGCCATGCCCTGCCATGCCCTGCCATGCCATGCCATGCCCTGCCATGCCATGCCATGCCCTGCCATGCCCTGCCAT